AAAGAGAGAGAGAGAGAGAGAGAGGGAGAGAGAGAGAGAAGAAGAAGTGGGTGGCGGCCACCAGTAAGGTGGGTAGGCGTCTGTCGGGATGGGGCTGGCGGGAACCTTGGTGGTGGCTACTGATGGGTTATTTTATTTGTTTTTCTTTAATGTTTTGTATTTATTATTTTTATTTTATTAAAAATGTAAAGGGTTAAGTTTATGGGCTTTTCATTAATATGCCCATTTTAGCATGACATATTATACAATTATCCATATTGAGCCTATTTGGAAGGGAAAACCCAGAACTAGATACTACTTGTCATTTTCTAATTGGTTTTAGAAAAATTGTAACACACTAAGTGCCTGTTTGACATTGCTTATTTGGGGTGATAAGTGATTTTTTTTAAATTTTGGAAAGCCTAGCCCGTTTGGTAGACTATGAGAAAATCACTTATTATTGAAAATTGCTATGAGAGAAAGCTATAAGGGAAAGCAGCTAATGAGGTGCTTTCATTTTCTGATTATGCAGGAATCAATTTCGAAGAGGCGATGAGTTTAATGATTATGCAGCAATTATTTTCTGATTATGCGGGAATCAGTATCAACAACACTTTTAACAAAAATTTTACCAAACGTCAAACTGCTTTCTCTCACAGCTGATTTCTCTCACAGCAAATTTGACAGCGATTATTTTCACAGCACAACAATGCCAAACTAGCCCTAAGAACTAATTAGAAAATGAAAAGTGGCTAATTTTGGTTTTTTTTTCCCTCCAAATGAGCTCTATATGGGTATTTGTATAATATATCATGCTAAAATGGGCTTATTGCAAAAAACCTATAAGTTTTTAAAGTGCGAATTAAGTTGATGTACAAATTTTAGCATGTTTATTGATGAGCCAATATGATCGCAGACTAGGGATGGGCATTCAAATCAAAAAATTGAGCTAAATTGGGCTGCAAAAAGGGCAAAAATTAGGTTGACCAAAAATTGGACTGGGCCGGTTTGGTCCGATTCTACTTTCGATTTTTGTAGTG